CTCTTAACTAGCGAGCTATCTCGTCGTATACCCGTAGCTGCGCCCGTAGATACTCCGCCTGTAAACTGGCGATCTCTGCTAGTATTAGCGGATATATTGAGGTAGGTTGTATAACCGGAGGCATTGAGGAAGGCATTGTCGCGGCCATTAGTATAGCTATTAGGGGCTATATTAGCTGTCCTATCGGGGGCTGCATTGGCTGTCCTATCGGTAGCTGCATTGGCTGTCCTATCGGTGGCTGCATTAGCTGTCCTATTAGGGGCTGCATTGGCTGTCCTATCGGTAGCTGTATTGGCTGTCCTATCGGTGGCTGCATTAGCTATCCCATCGGTAGCTGTATTAGCTGTCCTATCGGTAGCTGCATTAGCTGTCCTATCGGTGGCTATATTGGCTGTCCTATCGGTAGCTGCATTAGCTGTCCTATTAGTAGCTGTATTAGCGGCATTGTTAGTAGCTGTATTAGCTGTCCAATTATCGGCTAGTTATAGCTAGGGACAATTCGGGTTTGATCTTAAAGTTGAATCCCGTCTCGAGACATATCTATAGGCGTACCTATAGGCGTTCTAATACGGCTAGGTCCTAATGTAGCGGTGTTAGTAACTAATCTCTAGTTTCCCCTTTCTCTAGGCGTAGGAACGCGTAAAAGTAGAGGCATACTTTCCGTACTCGCTCGCTTTCGTCGCCGGCTAGTAACCTCTAGTTCAGGATCCCGGATAGGGATTATATGTAGGCGAATCCCGGGTGGTAGGCTTAGGCGTTGTAACGGTCGTAGGGCGGGCGTAGGGCTTGGACTTCCGGTTAGGCGTTATAACGGTCGTAGATGTAGCGGTAGGCTAGGCTCGATATCCCGTAATTGTGAACGTGTTTCCTATTCTAGGAGGGTCCTCCGGGTAGGAATTGTTCCAACCTAAGCTCTAGCGGCGCGATGCGTATTATTAACCTTAGTAGTACGCTCATCCTTACTGTTACTCCTATGCTTATAGAGATTGCTAGAGGCCTGCTCTTGGTACGCTAGCCTTATAGCCTTTTCCTATTTATATCTAGTCTTCTTTACAACTACGGCTATTAGTACGGGCATAAATCTGCTAATAGGTAGCTCTTACCTTGCTTCTATAGTGCCCTCTCGTGTCTAGACTAGATAGAGACATTTACTAACGTATGCTTTACGCGGTAGTCGGTCTAACCCTAGAACTAATCGACATCGCGCATATCTATAGTCGCAGCTCTAGAAATACCTATTATTAAAGGTAGGTCGGTTCCGAATGAGTATAACTTATATCCCGTTTGTTTGTTAGCATTTGTATCCGCCCGTCTGCTTCTATATATATCCTTGTTTATAAGCGTACACTCGGGGTTAAGCGCGGCTGTAATAACATCGTTTTTCTTGTTCGTCGCCTAGTTACGGAGATCTTTGTTCCAGGACCCTATATACATTAGCGAATATCTATAGCTATATATATAGACGTACGTTAGAGGATGCCGATAATCGTATAGTACTCCTACCTACTCGGAGCGTCGATAAGGGATAGTATATCTTCTCGCTCTTTTGTAGTAACCCTACTACGCTATTTGCTTATAACCTTGTCTACGTTCCTAATAAAGTGTATACGACAGAGTATAAGTATATGCTATAGGTGATACTCCGCCGTATAGAGGGGGTCGATTTCGTGTAGGTAGAGACTAAGGCCTACAGGTTAGTATAGGTACGGGCATAGGCTAGGGTATAGATACTAGTATATTAGCACCCGAGCTGATCGACTGCGATATAGTGCTACCCGTCCGTATCCCCGTAGATATATACCTACCTACATCTGCCTATACCTACGACAGCCGCTAAGGTCGTAAATAGGCGCTTCTATACGAGATAATATATCCGATTAGTATTCTTCTCGTTGCAGATAACCCGAGCTAAGGTGAAGACTATCTTATTAGCAGGTATATAGCTATAGGTTAGCCTATATATACGCTTTCTATTCTGACCTAACTCAACCGCAAAGATGACCTCGTTTATATTAGATCCTGCGATACGTTTATAGGATATATCGACGTCGAATAACTAGAGAGACGTAAAGATCTCTGCTTGTTCCCTATAAAAGCATACTACTGTCTATATGCCTACAGGGGAGATATATACGTCTTAGATGTATTGCTACTAAATTAGCGTATATTAGCATCTATAGCTATAGATAAGGACGTACAGTCTTCGGGTTGAGTTTCTGCTGTTTATATGCCTATTCTACTGCGTTAATATCGCGAAGGTGACTATACTCCGTATGCTTAAGCTTTACTATTATCGCGGTTAAGCGCGAAGTATTGTTTAAAGCAATATAGAGCTTAGCAAGTGATAGTACCCCTTTTTCATTAAGGAACTGCTGCAACATCGGATAGACCTAGAATCGGGCTAAGGACTACGTAAGCGGAAGTCTATAGGTATAGCTATATATATACCCGTTATTAGGTCCGGCGAAATGCACTTCTTAATCAATTCCTTTAGCTCTTCCTCGATAAGAGTAGGGACTTTCGTCGGAGGGGGTAGTGCATACGTATATTTGCCCCGAGATACGATTATTATATAGGGCGTCCTTATAGGATCGCGCGGGACGATGAAATCGAACTTGACCTTACACTCTTACGTAACGAGCTTGCCCTGCCCTTATAGGTAATCGACTTCTACGCGGTGTTAGCTAATCTATGCCTATAGGTCTAGACGTACCTACGGCATGTCGTATAAACTACCTTTGTCGGCTTAACAACCGTACAAACGTTAGTCGGACCTGCTAGTAGATTTTGGAAGAAGTCCTTAAGTATATCGATTGACTATTTCCCTTCTTTTAGAATAACTTAGCGGAAGCATAATAGTCGTAGGTGTGCATAGTAGTTGGTATATACGAGTGAGTACTAGTAATAACTAGCTAGCGTCTATACAGTTAGCTATAGATATGCCTATATATATAACTAATTACTTATAGGCGTCTCTGCCTCCTCGTGCGTTAAACTACAATCTTCGCGTTAATCGTCGTAGGCTTTTCTCGACCGGAATCTTGCTTATGCTATATACCAAAGCCTATGCCTATAGGTTAGTACTCGGTAAACTATCCAACTACGGATATATATACGTATATGAGTTCTCTACCCGGTATTGCGTCTCTTCTCCTCTTAGTACGAATATCCTTACGAGCGGAGGTATAGAATTAACCCTCTAGTTTAGGTACTCGTCCGTAAGGCGATAGTGCGCAGCGCCCTCCCGGAGATATAAGCAAGCATATTAACATATCTTAATACCGCTACAATTCTTCCGTACCCGAACATAGGATACGCTATTAAAGTACGACGCTTTAGTTTCCTTCGGGGAATAGGGCTGCCTTACCCTATATTGTATCTAATATATATTAGTATATATATGACAATATACACGCCTATATATACTCTATATTCAAGAACGGCCGGAATCTTTATAACGTTCTCTAGGATAAGATCGGTATAGTTATAGTAATCCGCAAGTAGAACGATATATATATAGCTATAGTTATAACTACTTAGGTATTCTAGTATCGTAGCAATATGTTCGATATGCTTAACAGAAAGCGGGGCATATATAGCATTTATAATAAGGGTAGGCCCGGGTCGAGGAAGTAGCTAAGTCTTGTTAGAAAGTATAGGCATACTATTAGCTATAGCTAAGCCTATAATGTTGCTTTCTAGCTGCTTATCTTCTATAGCCTCTAAGGCGATGCGATCTTCTTCCGTAAGCATTCCTAACGTAAAGATATTAGAGGCCTATATCTCGGTAAGCTAAAGGGTATATATATCTATATACTTATATATACGCGCTCGTTAATAGACTCGGTATACGAGATGAGCTTATTAGAATATTTATGTTTATAATCTTCCTATATATAGGGAAGAAAGGTTAATAGAGTCTCTATAGCTTTGGTCGGTACTTTAGATAGTAGTTTTGTTCGGTGCTCGTAATCTGTATAGTCTAAGAAGCGGGCATTCGTATAGTAGAAGGAAAGGGAAGGGAAAGAATTAGTCGATTAGTAGGAAAGTAGATACGTAGGCGCTAATTTGCGGCTAACTATATATACGGTTACGTACAGACTCGGCTATACGGACGTTAGTCAACTCCGCTTTTAGCGTAGTCAACCGCAGATTTCTCTGCTTTACGCTGGAGTCGGGCTCTAAAGGCTCCGTGTACCTGCAGCCAGCAGCACAATCAGGCTTGGACGTGCGGCTCGACAGGGGCAGCAGACGTCTCGGAGGAGTGTAGGTGAATGTTCGCGACTCGTCAGGCTTGTTCGTTCAGTGACATCGATGTAGCCGGCTATATCACCATGACCACGGCCATCCGGTGGTGGTGGTGGTGGTGGTGGTGCTACCTACACAAAATGCATGGAGCCCGAATCTGCCTTGCCCCTCGTACTCGTACCCTCAGCCAAGACATCTCCCTTTCCCATAGGCACTGGATGACCAATGGTTGAATGCGTCCATACTCATCAGCACATAGGTTGGCGGAGAAAGGAAGGTACATGTATTGTTGGCCTTCGCAGCCACACCAGCAGCACGTGTTGGTATGGTCATGAGCTCATGCATGCGCACCTGGCTTTGACCAGGTCTGAGGTCAAGCGTCAAATCTCCATCTCACGCTTCTCGCCCTCCCGCTCATTCCCTGCTGCCTCGTATTTGTCCCTGAGAGGAAAGTTCACAGTATTCGACTATTCTACCATACACACGCCGTGAATACAGTCGGCACTGCACTAGTCCTACCCCATAGTTCTACAGAATCACAGATCCACTTGCCTTAAGTCGTCAGCAGCTTACGCCTCGTCTTACGTCGCCAGCAACCCCCAGAGCCATATGCGATAGCCCCGACTTTGATTATGCGCTCTCTCAGCGCATCTCTGTGGCAGACGGCGCTGCTGCTTTCCACGCCCACACTCGCTGCCGCCGAAACAGACACGCGACCCGATGGCCTCATCATCGAAACCACCTCCGGCCCAGTAACATGCCATCGACCAACGCGAGCTCATGATACCATATCGGTACATTACAAAGGCACCCTGCTGTCCGATGGCAGCGAATTCGATGAGTCCTATTCGCGTGGGGAGCCTCTCGAGTTCAAGATTGGTGATGGACAAGTCATCCAGGGTTGGGACGAGGGACTGCTGGGCATGTGCATAGGACAGAGCAGGAAGCTGACCATACCTCCCGACCTTGCATATGGGGACTCTGGTGCCGGACCAATTCCGCCGAAAGCTACCCTCGTATTTGAGACCAAGTTGATGGACATCGTCAACCTGAGCGACGATGCCGAGTCCTCAGCAACAGAAGAGAGTATCAGCATAGCGACAGCACCACCAACGCCACCCGAGAGCGTCGACCAACTGAAAGAGGAAGGCATCTTGCCGCCAGATGATGATCAGCCCGAGAAGCAAGCCAAATGCCACCTTCTCGGTCCATTTGCGCTTCTCGTTCAAGGTGCACTCGGATTTCTGGCCGTCTTGACTCTTGTGTACAAGAGGTGGAGAGAAGTGTCTAAGCGGCCATGGAAGATCTTCTTCTTTGATGTTAGCAAGCAGCTCTTCGGCAGCATGTTGCTCCATGTCATCAATCTGGCCATGAGCATGCTTGGCAGTGCGGATATCGCGAATGCTGCTGCGAATGTGGCAGGAAAGGACAGTCAGACACCAGAAGGACGGAGGCCAAACCCATGCAGCTTCTACCTGCTGAATCTGGCTATTGATGTGAGTGAAAGGGTCTGACCGATAATTTTGAGCGCCACACCGTACTGACTACTCTTGCAGACCACAATCGGCGTGCCAGTCCTCTACGTCCTGCTCAAGATCTTGCACGCTCTCTTCCGACGGACCCCACTCGCCAACCCACCAGAATCCATCAAGTCAGGTCACTACGATCAACCACCACGAGTGACGTGGTACCTCAAACAGCTGCTCATCTACTGCATCGGCCTCACCTTTATGAAGCTATTCGTCTTCGTCCTCTTCGAGATGCTTCCGTGGTTACCATGGGTTGGTGACTGGGCACTACGATGGACTGAAGGCAACGAGGCCCTCCAAATCACATTCGCCATGTTCATCTTCCCGCTCGCAATGAACGCCGTCCAGTACTGGATCATCGACAGCTTCATCATGGACAAGAAAAAGGGTTCAGGGCAGAAATATTCGCCAGTAGGGGGAGACGACGATGGCGAAGAGGAGAGGAGGATGATCATGCATGATGACGATGACTCGGAAGGCGGAAAGAGTGTGGAAGTCGTTGAGAGTGAGGGTACAGGACCACTCAAAGAAGTCAGTCCTACGCCGATTCCTGTTCGCAGTCAGAGAAGAGGTGAGGGCAGTCGTGGCGGGAGCAGTCCACGCGAAAGAGACATGAGTAGAAAGGCGTCATGATATGACGAATTTGTTGATACACGTACTATTGCATTGAATGGTGCTACGATCTTGGACGAATCAGTCTTGGGAAAGAATCAACCCCATTCTTTCATCTTTCAGCGATGAAGACAAATGGGCTTCTTAAACATTTTCGAGAGTTTATGTAATGTCCCCAACCTCCGGCTTTCCAAACGCGATTGTCAGGCTCTGTTCATCGTCCTCGGGCAGTAGCGCAGGTGTATTTGATGGACTTGACGCGTCACTGGACTGGGAACGTAAGGGACGTGGAGTGGCAATTCTTCCTCTTCAGCATCCACTCTAATGCCGCAGATACCAAATGTTACTATTATCGTACTCTTATAGCTGCGGTGCCTCAGCAGAAGCCTCTCATTCGCCCAAGAGGGTGTTCGCGGCACGATCCTCACTGCGCCGCGCACGGACGCTGTTCAGCTCGATACAGTCTTCCTCTAAGACCCGCTCTCAGGCTCGAAAACTGCACGTCAGAGATGATCAGACTCATGGGCATTGCCGTTCGAGTCGTTCATCCGCATGGGCGTCGTTGTGATGTCTTGAAGTTCTGCGATCGATGGTGACCGAATCCGCTGCAGGTCACTGAGTCAGGCTGCAGCCATTGGGTCATTGCAAACTCTAGACGGGGAGCGGCGGCGGGGTGGTGAGCGAACTTAAAACTTGCTTGTAAAGAGCTTGTAAAGAGCAGTAAAAGATTGCTTCAGGTGAGAAAGCAAGCAGGTGTTCAGATCCCAGAATGCGGTTTGTGCTTGGGGGGATACCTGCATACATCAAACTCATACCACCCGTCCTGACGCAGATCACTGACTCGGACTACATTTATTCGGTCATTTCGAACTCTCGACCCGTGAGGCTCGAACACTTGCATACAACAACCACATTAGCTGTCTTCTCTCCCTCTCCGGTCTTGTAGTTCCAAAACAACCACATCCAGGAGTACACACCGCAGATGCAGGCAGCTGACAGTGAAATCACCACCAACAATCATACACACTGAACCACCACAATGGAGCAAATAGTCACATTAAAAGACTATGCTACCACACCGACAGCCATGGAGGACGTTAGACGAACCACAAAACCAGCTATGATCGATCTACAAGACGCTATCCTTCCACACGACGACCTTCTCAACCCAGATAGCCCAACAACACTCGACATCACAGCCGCTCCACACGACGAACTTCTCATGGAATTTTCCTCGGCAGCATCAGCATCAAACACCTCCTCAAACTTCATCGGCCTAACCAAAGGACCCGACCTCTTCGCCCTTCCCCTCTCAGTCGGAATCGCCGTCTCAGGAATCCTCGTCAACGACGCCACCACCCTAACCGAACCCTTCCTCCCAGGCGACCACGTAATGGCCTGTATCCTCCCCCCAAAACCCGTCCTCCTCTCCGCCCACAACTACAACCTCCGCCTCCGCATCCAAACCAACGCCGCCCTCGAAGTCCCCGACACAATGGCCCCCGAACAAGCAACTTCCTACATGACCTCCCTCCTCATCGCCGCCAGCATCCTAAAAGAACAACTCCACATCCCCCTCGTTCGCACCCCCTCCGCTTCCCCAGACCCCGCTGCTGATTCCGGAATCGCTTCGTATAACAATAAACGCATCCTCATCGTCGGAGGCCAAACCCCCCTCGCCGCGGCCATGACCCAACTCCTCCGCCGCGCCCTCCCCGAAACAAAAATTTTGCTGACATCCTCCATCCCTTGCCCATCCACCCTCCGCCACCGCACCGACCAACTCATCCATTTAGGCGCCAGCTACGCCGTTGACGGGGAGATTTCGAATCTTTCCGACGTTTTGCCCCCGAGTGTGGATATTCTAATCAATTGTGTGGCGGGGATGGAAGTGAGGAAGGAGGTTTTGGGACTGTTGGATGGTTTGCAGAAATTTGTCGATGTTACGGGGATGGATGTTGAGGGTGCGGTGGCGGCTTTTGTGGAGTTGGAGCCGGATTGTGTTACGAGTTTGCATGGGGAACTTTTGAGGGCGGGGGAGGTTTTTGGCGGGGTTGAGGAGGAGGGGTTTTGAGGTTGGGAAGGAAGGAGGATGGAAGGGAGGGTGGAGGGTTTGGTTGGGTTGGTTATGGTTGTATGATGAGACGGATGGATGGATCATGGTCGTGTATAGTACGTCCTCTCTCTTGTGTTTTGTTTTTGTTATTGTTGTTGTTTGAGCGAGATACCCATGAATAATGAATATGCAAACTCCAAAAAAACTTATACATTCTACCAGGTACAGTCGGACTTCCAAGATCTCGTGATTTTTCCCCAAATTTCCAAACGCCTTCCATTCACCCAACTCCAACCCCCCCCCCCCCCCCCCTTTTTTTCAAAATCAAATCTCCCCCACCTTCCCCCCCGTATCAAACGTCCCCTCAACAACATGTGCATACTGATCCTCCATGGCGGCCAATATCGCCCTATCCTTCTCTAATACCGCTTCCTGCGCCGCGATTTTCTCTTTTAACAACATTATAAGGTTGTTCTCTCGCCCTTTGATATACATGTCCTCCGCGGCTTTTTCGCGTTTCGTCCAGCTGTCGCCGTGTAAGCGGGGAGCTCCCGTGTCGCCTTCTGCGTAGGATTTTGTAAGGGTGAGGGTGAAGGGGCGTTTGTAGATGGTTGGGGAGGGAGGGTGGATATGGAGGGGTTTGTGTGGGAGGAGGCGGCGGAGAGGGAGGGACATGGTTTTGAGGGGATGTGGGTTTTTATATGTGTGATTTGTTGTGGGTGGTCTTAGGATGATGGCTGATGAGTTGGCTTCTTTTGTTGATAGAGACTTGGGATTCTTCTGTGCTCGTATGCTCGAAAGTGATCGTCTAAGTTATACTTCCCACACTCTTTCGTTCGGTGAGATGATGTCTTACACAAAGCCCCTCTTCATGGACATGGTGTGACTGCTGCACAGCTGGTAGAGCTCAATGCCTTTTCAGTCGATACTTTGAAGCTGTACCTGCAGGGGTCCTACCGTTCACGTGCGATGGAGATGGAAAAGATTCTGCTTACAGATCGTGAGAGCGAGAGCGAATGTATTATACGCTACCAAGTCCGATATAGGATCTGAACCTCCATTAGCTGCTTTCCACTCAAGAGATTTCTGTACGCTGGGTCCTGTCAGAGCATGACAAGACGACCATTGTCATTGGATATCCTCTCATTGAGGTTGATGCGGTTATGTTTCCAGCCGCCGCGTCCGTCTCCCAATTCTGCTTCCAGGCCATTGCCGTTGTCGAACAGTTGAATATGTCGTGCAGATGCAGCAAAGTTTCCTCCGCGAGCCCAATGCAAGGAGCCATTGGTGTTGGTAAGGCAGTCGTTCAGATCGATAGCAGTGCGATGGTGATGGCCATTGACGTCGGCACATTCGGCTACCAGCGTGCTGCGACCGTCTAAGTAAACATTTCTGGAACTACCATGGAAATTGCCTGCCATCATACCTCCTGCTGCGTGACGACGCTTCTTTTTGTCATCATCAGATGAGCTCGACGAGCTACTGCTGCTGGAGCTGGAGCTAGATCCACGGCGGGACTTGGGTTTCTTGTACTTCTTGTCTTTCTTGTCTTTCTTGTTGTGTTTCTTGTAGGCGTCTTCCAACATGGAGCCAGCTACAGCACCACCAAGACCTCCAAGGATGCCGTGGTTCATCTTGTGACCGCCGTACGCGCCTGCTGCACCTCCAGCCAAGGCACCCATTATGCCTCGATCTGCATCGGATCCTGGTGGATACTGGCCGCCAGGCTGACCAGGAGCATTTGGTTGATCAAACTGAGATCTGAACTCATCCACCTGAGCGCTTGGCTGTTGCATCTGGTGCTGCGGATACCGCTGACCGTAGGGAGGATAGTCGTGTGAAGCTGCTGGCTGCCCATAATTATTCTGGCCAAACCGATCAGGGCCGCCGTATTGCTGTGGTGCAGGCGTGTACGATGGCGCTGGGCTGCCCTGATAGCGATCACCTTGTGGTGGGTAAGATGGCCTATCATTCGGATACTGCTGGTAGGGCTGGTCGTTGCCACCGTAGTAAGACTGAGCTGTTCCTTGGTGGCCTCCGTATCCGGATTGTTGGTGACTCTGTTGCTCTCCAGATCCATAATTGCCATAATGCTGAGACTGGCCATATTGCGGTCCATACTGCTGCTGTTGTGGCGGATATCCATAGGGATTCTCCTGGTAGTTGTCTCCGGTGTTTCTCGTCATCTTGGAAGCGCTACAATGGTTCTCAACTAGGGATCAATCTGCTAGGATATCAGTGTCAAAAGAGAAATATGCCTGAGCTGGAGAAGAGCTGAGGTAGATGTAGTAGTGACATTGGTATCGACTAGCTGCTGCCCCAGTCCAGCTGAAGACAGCAAGCGCAGCTGCACAGCCTCATGTACGCCGCAAACAAACAATGATGCAAAGGCAGCAGGATTCGTGCACCGCCCGAGGAAGGGCCCACGTTGAAGCGAGCGAGCGAAACCTTGGTGTGGCTTGTTTCCATTGGCAGAGTGCTTCGATCAGCACATACAGTAAATGATGTGCTGCGCTGCGGGCCTGATCGCTGATGAGAAGGCGACGACGACCTCTCGCAGTCGACATGTGTAAAAGATGGTAGGCGAAGGATGAAGCACGGTGGGGGGTGGTACGGAAGGATAGGTTATTAGTACTATTCTTCGTTAACCCTAAGATAGTAGTAATCTATAAGGAGTTAGGCTACGCCTTAGTTATTAACTATACTTATAAGACGAATAAGTATAAGCTGCCTCTCTTCTATATTATATTTATCTCTTCTATAGGCTAGATACTACCTTTAGCTTATTATCTAATAACTAGTAAGAGAGAGATTCTAACTCGACGAGCTACTAGTACTATTCTACGACCGAGATAGAGCGGAAATAAACGCTCTATAACCTATCTTTCTATTACTAGCTAGTAACTAGCTTTATACCCTTATAGGATAGCTAGTCGCTAGCCTATAAAAGAGGCCTCCTTTAGTAGAGAGACAAAATTATTAACCTCGTAAAAATTAAAATATACTATTCCTATTATACTCTAATAGTACCTCTGTTACAGGGCTCCAATTACTATAGCTTAAGCTACAAGTCTACTATCCTATTCTACTAAGTATAGCTACCTATATTGCGATAGGTTATACTACCTTTAGAGGCTTATACTATTATAGCTAGTAGTAGTAGTAGTAGTAGTATTAGTTTCCGTCCTTTACTATAAAGGAAACTACGCTTTAGAATACCTATATAGACTAGCTATACTTCCTCCGCTATCGAGGATATATATAGTACCGAATTTATTAGATAGATAGGGTACTTAGGGAGGAGTAGAAAGTAAGGAATTTAGGTATCTATAAGCTAATATTCCTTTATAGAAGTCGTTATAGGTCGCTTATCGTCGTAGGTCGTAGGTCGTCGTAGGCTACTATTAAAGTTAGTCGTTATAGGTAGCTAGTTATCGCTAGTCGTAGTAGGTCGCTAGTTGCCGTAGGTTACGAGTTATTATAGGTTATAGATTATAGTAGGTCGTCGTAGGTCGCTAGTCGTCGTAGGCTACTAGTCGTTATAGGCTACTAGTTATTATAAGTCGCTTTCTTCGTCGTAGTTAACTTATCGCGGGTCTTCGTCGTAGCGTTTTGCCTTAGGCTATCTTTCTCGGAGGCCGAGTTAGCCGAGGTCTCTACCTTATAGGATTTAGCTAATTAGATTGCGGGGCCCGAGAATCCGGGGTTAGCTCGGTAGTTACGTGTAGCTAGATAGGAATTTAGCTACTAGGGAGAGCTTGTTATTATAAGGCGAGCTTCGCTCGCAATTATTATTATTATTATTATTATTAGAAATTATAGAATATACCACGCGTATGCGCATATCGATCGTAAGTTATCTTCTATACACTGTGTTTCTGTTTCTTTATCCTGTCGCAAATCTTCTTTTCTTTCTTCTTTATAATTCTATTAATCCCTATTAACAACCCTCAAACTCCTCCTCGGATGCAACAACGTCCCAAAAAACGTCGGCTCCTGACCCGCCAAAAGATCCTCATTAACACTCACATTACTATTTCTTCGGACAGGGTGGTAACTACCACTTTCATGACTTCCTGAATCGCTGGTTCGGGTCATCCAGCGAGCTCCTGTGCTGGGATCTGAAGGTGTAGCATTCGAACTGTTGTTGGTGGCTAGAAGTGCGGAAACAGGGGTGAGTTTCTCGCCTCGGGCTTGGGCTTGGCTCATTTCGACGTGGCGTTTGTAGAGGGCCAAACGTTTTCTGTAGATGAAGACGCAGTAGAGTAGGTACAGGATTATTACGCCGAGAATTCCGGCTACGCAGCCTGCGACGATGGCGCCGACGTTCGTGCCATTGCCGGTACTGTTATCGGATCCGCTGTTGCCGCTGGAGTCGGGTGAGGAGGTCGAAGTTGTGGTGCTGCCGTCAGGTAGAGTGTATGTGATTGGCTTGCCTGTTGCCATGGGTCCGGCTGTTGCGGTGTTGATGGGTGTTGTGAGAGTCGCACCACCAGACTTATCGCCTCCGACGACATCGATGACGGCTTGGGGTACAGTGTACCCGTAACTGCCTTCCAAACCGCCCGGGCTATCAGCCGAGTATTTTTGATTTGGCTGCTGATTGAATCTGTCGATTGTCAGCACAAGCTTCATTCTGTCCAAACGGGACGCTACTCACGGGTTGTTCGAGCCAGTAGAGTCAGAGCCATCATTTTTCATGCTGGTCGAGGATGATCCGCTGTCCGCACCGGGGGACTTCGCAGTGAATTCGTTGACCCATTGCGCTGCGGACATGTCAAAGACGTAAATGCCAGGGCTTTCGCACGTCAGTGACTGGTCGCCGACGTAGCCTCCCACCATGACCATTTGCCCGTCCCAGACATTGCAAGTGTGACCGGAGCGGCCGTATGGCACGCTCTGGCCTGACATGTCGACCTCAATCCAGGTGAAGGTAGGCAAGGTCAAAATCCACATGTCGTTTTTCTGAGTCTGATTGCCAGCCGGGATCAGGTTTTGGCCGCCGAACATGTAAATATTGTAGGAGCTTCCATCGGGCGCCGCTGCTATTACAGCACATGGATTGACTCGATAATCAGGAATAGGTCCGCTTGTCGTCTGCGTGTACCAAGAACTTTTGGCGATGTCGTAGACGTTGATGTTGTTCATTTGCGTGAAGGTCTCGTTTGTTCCGCCGGCAAGAGCTAGCAGTATGCCCTGTTCTCCAAAGCCGGGAACATAGATCAGCAGTCCATCAGCGCGCTGCGTGAAGCCGGCTTGGGCTTGAAGTCCTCCCTGAGTGATATTTCGGTAGACTCCATCCGAGCGTGCGTCCTGATGATTCGACAGTGACGTGACTTGAGTGTTCGGCTCTCCTGGGAAGGTGTATTCGAGCAAGGACTGTAAATAGACTCTGGGAATGCTCTGAGACCAGCCTTCTGTGGTATAGCCGTCCAGATGACCACCAAAATAGAAGCCTCGTCCAAGTGACGGCACGTTTGCAGCAGCTCCCTCGGCGGCGCGCTGGACTGGTTGAGCATTGCTAGGAGCGCTGACGCCGTCGGACGTCTCAGGGCTGCTGTGCTCAATCCATTGGTCATTCGAGATCGAGTATTCCCATAATGAGAAAGCAGTGGGTGACTCTGCGGGCTTCCATTGAAATTGTCCACCATACAGGTAAAGACTTTGGTGTGAATTCCACAGCGTTCCTAAGCTCACCTTTGGTGGACCCGAAGGTTGTGGTTTCCCTGTCAAGGACGGCGTTGCTATCTGCCATGTCTTTGTAAGATCCAGAGTCAAGAAGTTATTGTTCCATGCATTTTCGGACTGTCCCGGCTCTGTGGTTGCTTGGCCGCCATAGAGATAGAGAGTGCCATTGACGATGGCGCTCTGTTGGGCCCACCGAAAGCACACATCCGTGGGACTGTCTGCGCGTCGTTGCAACGGAAGACTGTTGTCTGCATGAGTATGAGTTATAGCACTGCCGCTGACAGGCTGTAGGATGGTGGCGCGGCCAAACAATGCTGTACTTTGAAGGAGAGGAACGACAGCAAGAAGCAGCGCCATCGCTGCTCCTAGTTGATACATCATGGAGCAGTTCCGTGGCGGAAGTGGAGACCGCGAATGTATGGAGACAGTAGCAGAGGTAGGCGAGTCTTTCTTCGTCTGCTTGGGTGAATCGCCACCCGTGCGGCCGCGGCCAGGACCAGAATGCTCGATCATGCGCACGCCAGCGGTCCGTCGCAGTGCAGTGGATGAACGCAGGCTCGGCGCAGGTCGTGAGCGCACTTGGCCTTCCGTTCAGCTGAGAGTGAGGCAGTGTGTGTGGTGGTTCTATTCTAGTTCTAAATTTGGCACCTGTGGGCAGATACGAGAAGCTTGGTATATGTGCGATGTGCGATGCAGAGAGCGGTGATCGGGTGGCAAACAGGACGCGGCACACGTTGATCATCACCATACTACTAGTAGTAGTAGGAGCATGATAGGGAGGTGTACACATTCCAATGCCCATCATCACTCGACTGGACGGCATTACGAGCAACAGTGTGCCTCAGGCCGAGAGCGAGTCGTGAGAGCGATTCTGCACCATGGCAATGGCATTTCTGTGCACCTTCCTCCAGTAAGTTGACTGCCCTGCCAGATGAGCTAGCTGGTAGTGAGGATAACGGCATGCCGCATGCTATAGAAGGACGGGATAGCCAGGCAATAGAATTGATCGGAGAGTGGAGGCCGGCGTGCCTACAAGCATTAGCCGCGTTGTGACTGCCTAGCTGCTAGCCAAATGCGACCTGTGACTCTCTTAGCATATACTGTAACTACTGTACTAGACCTTCCCTACTATCTAGAAGGCTTCCAGCTATAGCGTACGGTTAGCCGTAGAGTACGCTTTCTATAATTCAACTTATATACCTGCTCTACGGTCGTATTCTATTAATATAATAGCTATACTATTAATACTTTCCTCTATATATATATTTCGACTACGCCGGTTCGATTAGAATAACTTCTAGACCCTTATAGGTAGTATTATAATTAGTAGAGCTCGCTTTACCTCTAAAGCCTAATATCTAGCCTTCTTTCTTAAATTATATATAATATCTTCTTCCTATAGATATTTAAATATAATACGCCTTAGAGGGTTCCCTATCTTCCTAATACTTACCTAAAGATTATTATTTAGTTGTCTAGTAGCTATAACTGTCTTTTTCTTTACTTCCTTCTTAGCTACTTTCTAAGCTAGTTTCTCCTTCCTCTTTTTAGTAGTAACCTATCTCTACTATGCCTTTAGTGCCTTAGTCTATATAGTATATTACTTATTTAGTTACTACTAGACCTTCTAAGCCTCCTTCTAAGTAGCCTCTACTTGTTTCTTTTACTCCTTTCTAGTAAGTATATCTCTTACTTACAAGGTCTTATTAGGTAAGTAAAATATAGTAGTAGAGCCGTTTTTAGCCCCTATCTCTTTGAATAACTTCTTACCTTACTTTCTACCTAAGAGCGGCTATAAGTCTACTAACTTAACTTAAGAGCTATGTGTTCTAAGCCTATAAGCTACTAACCTAGTGCCTTGGATTTAGTACTTTCTTCGAGTTCTTCGCGTCTACTATAGTCTTAGTAATAGCCTTAGTCTTCTTCTAGTTAGCTCGCTTAATACTCGACTTAGTTAAAGCCTTTAAGAAAGGCCTACTAGCCTGCTTACTGGAAGTTGCTATCGCTATCTTTATCTTATTCTTTAGCTTAGATAGTACTATCTCTAGACTAAGCGGATAGATGCCTATCTTCTAGAAGCTACTAGATATATTCTTCTTTACTATAGCCTTAGTCTAAGCCTACTAGAATAGGCTAAAGAATACCTACTTTATCACACCCCATATACCCACAGATCTATATACTAGGAAGTGTTGTGGACCGCGGGCGCGTTCTAAGAGTGGCAGCGCAGAGGTCACCTACGTTCGAAAATTTTCGGCTTGGCGTTGCTTAAAAAAGCGAGCGTCTACCAGCTGAGCTATATCAGCTTCCCCGGATTTCTTGGCATAGATGGGCAGATATATACACGCAAAACCCGAGGACGTTCAGCCAATCAGATACACTACTGACGAGGGTAGTAGATGCGGGCGCCCCGAGGCCCAATCGTTAGACTACGCTTTATTGAGGGCCCCTCCGGGGGAGCAGGGGCTGGCCGGCTACTTACAGTGTTTACCATTCTGTATTCCCGAGTAGGACTGTAATCCCCCGACCGTGTAGCTGATTCTACGCTATAATATAGCACACGTTGAAGCTATACGGGTCGGGAATGGGTACTTCCGGAGGGTGTTTGGTTGGCTTTTTTTTTTTTTAAAAAAAAAAGACTAAGGTAGAGGAGATTAACTACGAACAATATTTTATTATTACAATCGTTAAAGCCTAAATTTTAACTACAATCGACGACTATCGGATTTAGAGTCTAGTATTCGGTTAGTATATGTGTTAGTATTAATACGATTCTAATAAAAATTATACTATAAGTCTATATATATATATATAATATATAAGATAGTATATATAGCAAGGGGAAATATAAACGTATATATAGAAATTAAATATACTAGTTAAGGGGATATATTTATAATGCTAGTATATAATATATTATAAGAGTATTAGGATAGATTAGGACAATATTAGTAGAAACTATACCGTTATTACCGGACAACTTAGTCCGTTATAAACCCTAGATATATTCGAAAATCAAAGAAATATATACGTTTACTTAAATTATAGAATTAGAGCCGCGCGAGTTAGTACAATAGTCTAGCAACTTGTTAAGTTACTTAGATAGGAACTCGATAATAGAATTTCCTCTTAGTAGTTACAGCCTATTATAAACGCCGTCCAAGTACAAAACTATATATAGTAGATTAATATACAAAGTACTCCTCCTCGAAAGTTGAAACCTAACTCCGATATAGCGCCGCCTAAGCACAAAACCATATATAGTAGATTAATATACAAAGTACTCCTCCTCCTCGAAACCTAACTCCGATATAGCGCCGCCTAAGTACAAAACCATATATAGTAGATTAATATACAAAGTACTCCTCCTCCTCGAAACCTAACTCCGGTATAGGACTACTACCTCCTATCCCACCAGCTATTAGGTACTCCTCCGGGGGCCCCTCCGGACGGGGTATAGTAGGCGCTCTTCGCCTCGGTAGTAACGTAGGGCTAGGATCCGCCGGGCTAGGTGATAAATCCGGCGATACCGAGCCACCCTATAATTCCTCCTGCGTAGTTCTATGCCGTAACGGACTCCTCTGCCTAGTATCCCTTAAAGACGGCCGGAGGATAGGTGGAATCCGAACCGGCGAAGGATCGATACTCTTACGGAGGGTAGAAGGTGTTTTCCTAGTCGAGACTGAAGGAATAGACCTTAGCGAACCAAAGGCTAGACTTTGTGTACGTATACTACGTGGCGTAGTAGTAGGGCTAGTAATTTCGACAGATAGGAGTTGCTTCGTCCGTTCTAGCCAATCTAGATCCCTATCTTTCGTAATATCGGAGATACTAAAAGTAATATCCGACTTTACAAAGTCTTGTTCGATAGCGAGGTCCTTATAGGCCCTAACCCTCGATAAGGCTACGTAGAATGCCCCGGGAGATACTTGCTTCTCCCTAAGGTTTACGACAACCCGATCTAAAGTCATACCTTGCGACTTATGAATCGTAATCGCATAGCAGGTTACTATAGGGAATTGCTCGCGCCATTGTGTCTCCGTAGTACCGTAAGTACCGCGTGCCCTCCGTACGGGAAAGATAGGCACAACCGCACCCTTCCGGGCCCCCCCCCGAGCGTCGATCTGCTCGTTTAGTCCAACCCCACGAAACTCGGGAAAATAAACGAGTAGACAGCGAGGCATAGTATCCCGGGGACTCTCTACGTCCTCGTCCCAGAGAATACTATATAGTTGGCCGCGGCTACTATTAACTAAACCCATCTCCGTCCAGATATTCTGACATAGAAGTACCGGACATCCAATAACTAAGTATAGCTCGGAATAGAGTCCTTGAAACTCTTTCTCGTCAAGCCGACTACTCGAAATAGAGTCGTGCTTAGCGCTAATACGAAGTATCGGATATTCGCTAGCTAAGAGTTGCGTACGATTAAACTGCTCTACCGTAGTACGATAGGAGTAAAGCCGGATAGCAGACTTAAAGTCTCTCTGTATTGCCTCCCCGAAGGGCGTAAACGTACGCTGTCTAAGAAGATTATAGTGCCTATCTTCTACCTTATTAACCCGGACGGCTTGTAGGGCATCCTTAAATTGTAGGGCAGTCTTATCCTGCCCGGATTGCCGGACAACCTGTGACAAACGTAGCGTATACTTAAAGGCTCGGTAGCAATTACGACCGGAGATATCTATAGCGTTATATAAACGCTTAGTAGTAAAGAGAGCGGTAGCCGCGACGGGCGGAAGCTGACAGAAGTCCCCGGCTAGAAGAATACTAAACCCGGCAAAAAAGTCGGTAGAGGCCTTAGTTTCAGGAAAGATCTCGAATAGGCGCTGATTAATCCAACCTAGTAGACGAATACTAAGTATAGATTTCTCGTCAATTACTATAAAACGCACTCCTTCTAACCGTCGGCGGCAGACCTTTCTAGCCTCGTCTCTAAGTTCGTCTAAGATAGGATCGACTTAAATAGGTAGATTAAAGAAGGAATGAATAGTATAGCCATCGATATTAAACGCCGCTGCCCCAGTAGGGGCAAGTCTAACAATAGGACTTCGAGTACTACCTTCAGTACGCCGCGCAAGAGCCTGTAACCGAGCCGAGAGTAGCTCGATTACATAGGACTTTCCGGTACCCGCCTCGCCGTCGAGATTAATTAATAGCTGCGGGGCGCCTTCGGAGTTGGCGGGCGCCCCTAAGCGGGTACCGAATAGAAACTCTCGGACAAACTGTTCGTAGTTCTTAACAAAGACACTATATACTGCCGCTTGCCCCGGATTTAGTGATAGATAGGCGTTGGATGCCTGAGATTCGACATCTAAATTCGAGGTCGAACTTTCCTTTAACCGCCGCCAATAGTTATTCCGAGCTAGCGGTTCGTAAACCTCGGGTATAGTATCCTTAAAACGGCCACAGTAGGGACTCCAGTCAGCAGAAATATCAATACCCCGCTGTCCTAACTCGAGCTCCTCGCGAATCCGATTATTATCGCTAGGATGCTCGTTCCCGAGTTCGTTAAATATAGCCTCCTCATCCTCGGTAATAGGATATTCCTCCTCGAACTCGTCCTCAAAATCCTCGTTCTCCTCGGCTAGACGGCCGTAATAGTCCCTCCTAAGTGTAGGATACTGCGACTCCCGGCGCTCTAATTCCCGGTAGGCAGCCGGCCACGTAGTATAAGAAATAGGCGAGTTTGGGAATCGGAAGGGTAGTACTGGATATACTATCCAAGGGACGTGTAGTACAACCTTAAACCGACAGTACTGCGCGTACTTCGGATCGCTAGTATCGCTAGGATATAGCGGGATATAGCGAAGAATCCGGTCGGGATTTCTATCCGCTAACCTCGTAGGCGGATTCCGGCCTAGATTAAATCTAGTCGCGAACTCGAAGAGCGAAACAGTAGCGTATACTTCCTGTCGATCGCTATACTTCATATAGATCGTCCTACGCGCAGTCTGCTGGGGGTGCCCCTCGCCGAGGTCGTTTAGCCCAAATGGTACCTGTTGCTCTGCCTGCGGTCTACAGTCGAGGTTAACGAACTGCCGCGTACAATCTACTAAATTATAACCTAGTAGAATAAACGAAACCTCTTATGCGGACCAATCTCTTTCAGAAACTAGCTTATTAAGTAGCTTAGCGGCAAGCGAGACTAAGGGCCTCCTATCAGATATACGGGGCAGGATATCCCGTATAAGTTCTGAATAGGGCTTTGTAGCAACCTCGGCTTTCGAACAGTACTTAACAATATATTGTAGTACTGCCTTAATATCGGTACACGGAGTAAGATCGGTATTCGCTCTCCAGGCTATCGTTAAAAGGGGATTAAAGTGATTAAGGTTCTGATCGTTACACTCGGCAATATATGTAACAAACTTGTCGTTATAGCGATTAGAAACCTCGGCCCTCTCTAGGATAGTACGCGGAAAGTGAAACCGGCAATATTTCGTAGTATCGGCCGCATCTTGTCCCTTCTTACGGCGTAGGCAATAATCGTTACACGAGTGCCGCTGAAGTCGGTTTACAAGATCCGAGAGAAACTCGAGATTGTTTTCTATTTCCGAGGTATCCGAATTTATAGCACTACGGCCAATAGGGGCACCCTGCCGACTAGTATCCGGATTTAAGGCAACGATATGTCTATCCCAACGTGTAGCAAGTGCCGAACGCCCCTCGTCAGTAGTAACACTAATCGATGGTAGCTCGTCTATCCAAAGAAAAAAGTGCGCGTGAATACTACCTCTCCCTTGAAACTCAAACCGAATCCATGAGTCAGATACCCTAAATTTAGGCTCTAGGACAGTCTTAAACAAGAGCTTTAACCGACGCTTAAATAGATCTACTACGATATGCGGATAGTCCTTAAGAAACTCCCGTGCTAGACGGATAGAATCGGCCGAACTACCTGTTTTCCATTCGTTATAGAACGGACTTAACCGAAGTAAATGGTCCCACTGTAGATCGGCGGGACTACAGGTTCCAAAAAGCGCCGGACATCCTAGAGACCGAACCATCGCTTCTAGTTCCATTCGGCGGGCGCCTATATACGGCCTCGTACCAATTAGGGACCGCCCGTGCCTTGTAATTGTGTCTAAAATAGACTTAGAATCCGGGGACTCCGGGTTTAGTAAGGCCTCCCGTAGTTGCTCCTTTGTAAGGCTATTAGCAACTTCGAGACTACGGGCAAGGTACGTAGACTAGCTACGAGTTAAGCTTCGGTAATAGATATTAAATACCGTATACCGCCAGCTAGTATGGGAACCAAATCGACCGTCGTAATAGTATAGTAGGGCTTGAATATAGTCCTTAAAACTAACTGTCCTTTCGCGAGGGCTATAAAAATCGCCCTGCCCTGTAGGATATAGGTACGGAAAGGCAAGTGATAGAAGGCTACTATTAGTATCCCACTCGTCGATAGGTCGCGCCTGTAAATGGGGCTACGTTAAGTGGGGTAGACTGCGAGGCTGGGCTAATCGATGTAGACTCGTCCCGGGGGGTCCCCGGCTAACTTCGGTCGGATTCT